AGATCGATCGTGACAGCTACTCCAGGCTTATCGGTCACTGCAAAAAGCTTTGGGAATATTCAGGTAGTCAAAAGGCGTGGCTGGACTCTCCGTATGGTGCCACTGTCAAGTTCTCCACCCTCCATACTCTCGAGCAAGCTCGACAACGCTGGAAGTTTTACATCGAGATGGAGAATCTTCCGACCAAAAGGCAAAATTTCATCCGTGAAGCATTCACGAAGCTGGTGAAAGACGCTTCTCGAAGGTTTAACTCGATAAACTCGAACATTTCATCCGCACGAGCAGCAGGACCGCTTCTGTATGAAGCCTCCCCCGTCTATGGACAACATGCGCTCCATTATATTTCGACTGGCGTCTCCTCTACTGAGTCTACAGTATTGGCCTCCGCCACGTTGATAAATCCGACATTCGCCTATTCTTTTGCAGGAGAGGGATGTAATGTGCACTATGGGACATCGCCACTTACACCTTTCCACACTTCAGCCCTTTTTGCGAATGCCACTCAACCTCTGCGCATGTCCGATGTGCTTCAGGCTGCTCAAAAGCAATTTGGAGAGTGGTGCGACGCTTATCGTTCTCGCGCTGTTCACCCTTCGAAAATCGTGTTACGCTTCCTTGTGGGCGAGGCCACGGCTGTATGTGGTGCATTCCAAAGCTTAAATGCAACCCAGAGCGTCCATACTCGTATACCTGTATCGCAATGGAGGACTAGCGTGCTGATGTTTGACGAAGCACAGTATTCAGCGCCGAGCAATGCCTGTGCACCTACGACCTTCAATGTCGTTGACACCACCAATTTGATTGACCACGTAGGACTTTTGAACATTCTGGTAGCTGCACTTCCGCTGCGTACCGCGACTGGTGTCATCTACACAGAATCGTTGCTGTACAAAGGAAAACGTGAGGACGCCGCAAAAGAGTTTGGAGCACGGTTATTCGCTGATTTAGGTACGATGGCATTGCTTCTTGGAGTAGCGCCAGTCGATTATCTTTCGGGTTTTTGCTCGCGGTCCAACACAAACGAAATTCTCCTCAATAAAACTGCCTCCGGGGCCCAATTTCACCAGGTCACAACGTGGAAGGCACCGACATCGTCCGATGTTTCTGTCAATATCCGGCCTGCCGTTGTCTTTGACAATGTCCAGCTGGGTACTCTCTTATGGAACATTTATCGCCGAATCTTCGAAGATGAAAATGCGATGACTGTCCTCACGAAGTATGTTCCCACAGGCAACGTGAGAGCAATCGCTAATTCGAAGAAAATCATGTACAATCGAGAAAGCTTTGTCCTCTTCTTGAAAATCACGCGGGGTAATCTTGTCTTGTCGGCTGAAGACTGGGAAGCTGTGATGAAGACATTTTTCCGTCTACAAGACGAGGGTAGCATGCTACCCACAGACACCGCGCACTGGCAAGACTTTTATTCGTATCTGTATAAACATAACGTCTACACTCTTCCGATCTATCGGGAGCCTCTACGTCGAACTGGAAGGTTCAGCGAATGGCCTTCGGTTCCCCACCTGGTGCGCGTTGTACTGATAGTTCCTCGATCGGTTCTCGAAGATGTTTTCAATGACCCAGACGTCGCCACCCCGGTTCTGCAATGTGATGTGCGGGGGATGCTATCGACACATGTATTTTCTTCTGTGCATGCGGCATTTGGTCGAGTTTCGTCCACTGGCACCAAGTCCTCCCCTCGAATCTCTTTTGAGGAAGATAAAGAGGGCTGGAAAGGCAGATCACCTCTCGTAGTCTCTTTCACGATGCCTACTCGATTGTTGGTTAACTTCGAGCCGCAACGCAATCTTTTGGTCAATCTCTCTATTTCAGGCACTGTTTCTACTATAGCACAGTTCGCGCAGAAGCTTGGTATCAGCCTCAATGTGTACGGTGCAAAGCTGTCGGGCGGGATTCATGTTGAGGTTCTCCCGGAGCCTATATCTCATGCCAGTGGGTTTCCTGCTCCAGCGTTATCAACTGAGCCTCTCCCACATCGAATTGGTTCATGTGGACCGGTAACGGTTTCCCTCGATGGCAAACACGAAATTGTCAACTTGTTCTCTTGTCGGATGAGTGTTGAAAATCCCATTATTGTTCATTCCTTTGGATCTCAGGGAGCCATCCCTAATGTGAAGCAGATCTCCCCTTGCGTTGTGAGATTAACGGTTTCTGGTATATTTCAAGATTTCGTTTTCCCCTACCCTGTACGGGGAAGTGATCATCGCCTACGACTGGTTCGAAAGTCACTATATATTGAGGTATAAATACTGTAATCTTTACACGATATCCTTTCTGACTTTTCGGCATTTTTAGCTTCTTGTCCCCCCTTCAGGGCCATTCCAATCTGAAGGCATGCGGACCAGACCATTCCCAGTAACGCTTCCAGATTCTTCGTCTCGTCATCCAGACATCCAAGCTTGGAATATTCATCACGTTAATCTCTCACGTTTGCCTGTTCTCGACTGTTCACGCCCGAAGGAGCTCTCCAAATGGTTCCATCCACATGTAGCGCTCATGATGTCTGCAAGGGAGCGTGAGCTTCGGGATAAGAATGAACCTGATACTCTCATGTTCGTCAAAGAAAGGTTGCAACAGATCATGGCCCAAGCTTCGGGGTTCAGTGGAGGGAAAGCTCATCGACTATTCTCCCTCATGGATCGCGCCGCGCGCAATGTTGATACTCTACTATTCATCAGCGACCTTCGATTTGACCAGAGCGCATACACTGTGGTGTGCGATGCCTTCGTCCTTCCCTTGACCGATGAGCTTATGACTAAACAAAGTGGTCCTTTCGCAAGACTTATTAATGGGGAAGGCTTGGCGCATATACGGCTTAGGGAGGGAGAAGTAGCATCGTGGAAGCACCTTATCCCAGCATTTGTCGAACGCTGCCGCATTTCTTGGATGCATACTGAAAATTGCGAGTATAAAGCCCAAGGGTCGATCCCTCTTACTGAGAAGATTGACCATAGCCCACTGTGCAGCTGCGGTCAGGGCAAAGATGTCGAGGGGATGTTGAAGAATCCATTGTGGCGCCCCTTTGCGCCGTCCGCTACCCGAATCGCGTTGTCGCCCTTGTTCGCAGTGACTTACCTGGACCCTATTATGTGAATGCTGGTCCTACCACTAGCAGAGCAACGGGTCGACCAAAAGCTGCAAGAGTGTAGCAGATGATGTAGGAAGGAGGTTGTGAAATATGCTACTTGAGAGTGATCGGCGAGTCACTATACGTTTGTGATTACAGAAATAAGATAATTTTCTTGAGAAACATGGCATTCAGTCTACTCGCCTATCACTACCGAGCATACGCGAAATCTTCGCCACGAACCCCAGTCCTGAGTTTCGAAAATTCCATCTTTCGACTGCTGAAGGCAGGTTGTTGATCAGCGAAATCTTAGGAAACGGAAGCGCTGGGTTATAGCTTATCATACCGGTATTCTTTCGTACCTTGAGTAGGGTCGTGATAAGTGCAAGTTTGAGACTAAGAGTACGCGTTACCCGTTCAGTCCTGGAAAAAGAGTTGGGCTTAGTCGAGGGCCGATTAACACTAATGGCAGTATTGGTGAGCTTGTTAAGATCGAAGAGATAAAACTCACATCGCTAGCCTGTGGATAAAGTTTCGGATAAGGACTGGAATATCGACAGCTGATCGCCACCGTATCTGTAGATATGCATTTTGTGGACTCTCGCAACCAACTTGAATGCGTTCATAGCGCCATCGAAAACCCGTATTTCGGGGATATCGCGCCCATACTTAGCGGTCATCGATGCTCCATAATCTTAATCAACCATTATATCAAGGTAGCTGTCGAGGTCGTTCTGATGCGCCGGACCTGTTGAGCACGAACTCGGAGAGACAGAGATGATCTGAAAATAAACCTTATTAGCAGAAATGAACGGCGTGTCATACCTCAGTTATCAAGCACTAGAGAACAAAGAGAATTTTGTGCATTTAATATCACAGACGAAAATATGTGGATTGGTGTACAGAGTAAGATGACAATAACAACTGCCGCGTGAATCCAACGATAGTTGAAGAACAGATATAATGTTTGAGCGCGTGCATATGAAAGCATAGAGCATTTCAACGATAGACAGCGGGTTAGGATAAGGATTAGACCTGCAGAGCGATGTGGATATGGATACAATTATAAAAACAAGCTAAGGCAGATCAGTTATAGTGGAGAAAGATTGAAAACCAAGACATACGATTATAACCAGTACCAGTGAGGTATTCTGTTTACTCCTATAGCAGCTTGAACAGCCTTCAACTGCTCAGACCCTTCTTCCTTGAATACCGCCGCGCGATCCTTGGTGTCAGCCAGCACAACACATGGTCTAGTACCGCGCTTTGTTTCTACGTATTCGAGCCTGCATGGATAAACAGACCGGACTTTATCGGTAACAGTCATTGCTGCAAAGTCCAAGCAGGGGATGTCAACATCGTCCTCTTCTTCTTCCTGAGGATCTTCTGGGTCCCTCTCCCAGTATGATGGCTCCTTCTTCAAAAAATCGATTGTGAGCGTGATACCATAGACTCTTCGTGGGACTAGGCGACCCATAGTTGTCGAGAGCAGGAATGGTTGTAGCCCAGCTTCAGCGCGTGTAGGTAGGTGATAGTAGAAGTGGGTGTTCGGCTTCGCTTCTTAACATACGCATCACGGTGCGATCACATGATGATCTGGCGCACAGTGACCACGTCACCACACGGTAAACCGTAATTGTACTCTTCGACGCTACTTAATCGATCTCCCACCAGGCACTTCACCTTTACGGTCATATAAGTACTTGAGGCAGGAACCATGTTCGTAGCGTACGCCATCTATGAATATAGCGTCAGTTGACTGTTGTATCGACCTTATTTTAATGTGTACTGGGATATTTTACTTTCACTGTTCGGGCAATGATGAAGTCGAAAAACGTGTTCGGAGAGCTGACGAGTTTACTGCTTATATTGTTAACAGTTCACGAAAACAAAATAACACGCCAATCTTTGTCTATACACCGCTTGGGATTCGAACCCGACCCACTTGTCCATGCAAAGAAATCTCAGAGTATGGGAGGCAAGCATGATAGCCACTGTGACACCAACAGTGCTTCTGTCATAAGTCGTTCTTGTATATATACTTATCATCATTAGACTTCACGTCTCGCTGCCATAAACGATGATCAACATCCTCTAGCCCTCGATCCATATGTAGTTCTCCAAAAAAGACCTGAAGGACAAAATATCCTTCGAAGACGTCTACGAGTACGCTATCCTCTGAGAAACAAACCATGCGCGGCGGAAGGCAAGTTTGCCAAAGCCATCAAAAATATTAACACTAGAGCCTTTGCCTATAACAATATGGGCTCCAGCAAGCAGACCGGGAGTCCAAGTTTGACCATGCTAATGTCAGATCCCCTTCGTTGAAAACTAGAGCTGAAAAACAAGTGGACTGACGAGCTTACCAATTCATAGAAACAAAAAAAAAAGCTCTCAGAAGCCGATACACCACTCTCTACTCCATTCCATACACCGTTCGGGAATCGAACCCGAGCCGCTTGCTCACATGAAATATAGGATGGAAGGCAAGCATGATAACCACTTCACCAACGGTGTCTATATAACTCAGTGTAATCCGTTATTCAATGGATCTCGTATGTGACTGTCATTTTCAAAAAAATTTCAGCGTGGATATTACGGTCATTCTTGCGGATGAATTAACGCTAAAAGCTTGTACATTTGGACTCGCCATACGTCGGACTCCTGGAGATGAGTATGACTTGCTTGATATATTCTTGGAGCGGCCACAAGTGAATCGCGAACGTTGCGAACACGAGGTAATTTACCTTGCGTAGGTGTACTGTAGCTCAAGTATTGTTAAGGGGAGGCAAGGTTGCTTGTCTGTCATTGCGTTCTACCTTACCTTCGGACCTTGATAGTTCTTGCTGGGTTCGGATCTTGCCATATCGTACTCCCTGGCACTGTACGAAAAGTATCAAGATCATCCAATACTCACATCCCGTTGCAATGCCACTCACTCGTGCTCAATCGAATGCTGCTAGTCTATCACCGGGTTATTGCCCTGCATCTAGAACAAAGTGTCATTTACCCCACACAGTTCGCTCAAATGCAATACTCATAACTTGTGGAATAGCCGCTATTCAAAATGATACATTAATACTACTATGACGCGCGGAACAATGCATTTACTTACCCAAAATCACTCACGAGAATAACGATGTTCATTGGTGGCAACATTATTGACTCGAGAGACAAGTCTAACCGTAAAAGGAGAAGCAGACGATCAAGTAGTCACCGACCCGGGTACTTACCAAAATGTCTATCCGAACAACTCTCATTGTTGAAGCGAGGAAGTAGATAGGACGGCGAAGGCGTTATGTGCAGTGTGGACGCATCGTGACGCACCAAGATTTTTATTGTCGGAATCTGGCTATATCTTTGGTGAACCCATCCTCGAGCTTGAGGGTTGTCGAAATACGGCATGAGAACGCAAAGCTGGCGCAAGAATAACGTAGGTGGTAATGTTGAAGAGCGTCTAAGTCTTGGTAGTGACAAAGACCACAAGGGTGGTGTAGGGGACGAACCAGGTGTACCTCCTCGACAAGTGTCCAGTAGTATATTCAACTTCGGTCCTGGCAGTGGTCACAGTGCGATGTTGCCACCAGATGAATTCGGTCACTTGGGCCAAGAAAACTGGCTTTCGATCAAGCCGATGGAAAGGCTAGTTTGTATAAGATACGTATGAGCAACGACAATAGAAGACTGTCAAGGTAATTCTTACATGCTCAGTTACAGTACCAATGTCGAACTTGATGAAGATAATCTGAAAATCGGGCCTGGGTTAGAAAGGGTTAGAAATGACACACAAGTTCTGTCATATCTCGAATTACAAAGACATCAGGGGACGAATAAGGGCATTTCAAGCATCGTAATCAGAAAAAGAGCACGACGAAAAATGCATATTAGTGTACAAAGTAGTGATGACTAGTTCCTGCATGACTTTAACCATAGAGGAGGAATTATACATGCTGAAGCATGTCATAATGACAGCATTTCGACGATAGCGAGTTGGGAGGAGGTCGTGTGCGTGAGCGTTAGACGTCAGACCATGATACAAGAGCTAGAAAGACTAAGGCAGATCAGTTACAGTCAAGATATTCATTGAGAAAACATACCACTGTCGTTCAAGTTAACCAATACCAGTGAGGGACTCTCTTTGTTCCTATAGCGGTTTGAACGATCTTCAACTGCTCAGAACCCTCCGACTTGAACACCGCCGCGCGTGACTTGGTGTCAGCCAGGACAACACATGGCCTGGTACCGCGCTTTGTGTTCACAAATTCAAGCCTGCATGGATAAACAGAGCTGACTCGCTCGGAAACGGTCACTGCGGCGGCGTTCCAGTAGATGGCGTCAAACCCGTCATCTTCCCCCAGCTCCTCGTCCTCTTCTTCGTCCTCTTCTTCAGGAGCATCTGGATCTCTGTCCCAATAAGCTGGTTCCTTCTTCAGAAACTTGTCCGTGAGTGTGATACCGTAGACTCGTCGTGGCGCTAAACGACCCATGTTGGAGCAGGTTGAGAACTGAGTTTACAGATAATCAGATTATAGCAAGCGAAAGAACAAAGGGAACACGAAAATGTGGCAACCGTGGGTGCTTTTGAAGGTTTTGATCACCTGATCAAGTTGTTAACCGAATATTGCTGCGGGTGGCAGCGGTAGGCACTTTCAATATTTTAAACTTCTTAAACTTCAATCTGAATTCTTGGAGAGTAGAGGGGCGTGTACTACTCCAGTGTATCATATGCCTGCTATGTGATTGGCACTGGCACTCTTCAACTCGCATACTATTATCCAACTATTATCGCTATCTTAACAACCCCTCGTGTAGGCTGTGGGTCCAAACTAACATGCGGTTCCTGTCAGCTGTCATCGATTCATCATCGATAAACAATGGGCATTGAAACAAATGGCTCGAATAGTCCCGGTCTGGTCTTGGTTCAAGTCGTAATCTGCTAACAAAGTGACGGTGGAATAATAGTATAAAGAGCCGGCTATACCCATCGATCCTGCCATCGATCCCCTAGCTGTAGCACCAGCAACACCCGATTCTACAGGATGCCAACCACTCGCGCTCAAGCGAAAGCTCGCCCAGTTCGGAATAAATCTCCAACGGCACCGCCAGCTTATAGCACTACGACGAAAACGAAAAGAATTATTTCCGCTGCACAGTCTCTCAAATACAATCCGCGTAACTTGGAAAATAGCTGGCATCCAGTGTACGGTCAAGTTTTTCACGACCTTGTCGCAATATACGAAAACATTTTCGTTCACGTCCAATACCTGCAATGGCGCGCTGAAGAAGGTATCTACCCGGAGATCACCCACCAGAATAATGATGTCCATCCTGACAACGTCAGCGACTCGAGCGATGAGTCCGAACCGGACGAGGAGGACCAGGTAGTTAACCTGGGTAGCCGCCGACCCGCTTATCATCCAGTGAGGGATTCACCCTCTTATCAGGCAGCTGAGCGTAGGAATCGGGCTGTGGAGGCCACGACAGAAACCGACAATGGAGGAGCTGGGGGTAAGCCTGATGACTTTGACCCCGATGTGCAGCCACCGGATGGAAACGAGGACGAGAGCGAGGACGAAAGCGAGGACGAAAGCGACAACGATGAGGAGGAGGGGGTGGAGGAGGAGGAGGAGGAAGAGGAGAAAATCCCTGACCCCAACTTACTGGCCTCCACTTCCTCCAACAAGACCATTGTTGGTCCCAAAGACGACGAGTTCCCAGACATTGCGATTATGCATCAGCTCATGCAAGAGCTGCCTGAGAATGATACCACGGCGAAAAATGAAGCGGCAATTCGAAATCAAAAGCGATTCGGAAGGCAGGTTGTTCATCTGTGCCCCGCTGTTTTGGGTGAGATGAAAAGAAATGTTTCACGGACAGACGAGTATAAGTTTCTGGCAAGCAAACAAAAGATCGCTAATAACAGTGTTATTCACAAGTAGGTTGTTCACAGTTAATGTCTGTATATCTATTGACTCATAACTAGACAACTCGCCGATGCTCAAGTGCAGATGGCTCAGTATCTTGGCACTTTCTTCAAACGCTATCCTTGCCTTGATAAGATCGTTGCCTTCGTTATGGCCGGGCCTTATTGGCGCTATCTCGTTTTTGATAGGGATACCTTTTCTTCGCTCTGGGACTTCGAACGCAGTAGCTTTAAAAGGGAAAGGGAGGGTAGCAGTGTCAAGAGCCAGAACAAGTACCATCAAAAATATGGCAAGAAGTTTTACGAGCTTGGTACTCTGAAATCAGACAGGGCGTTGAATGAGCTACGTAGGCAGTGCCTTCAGCACTTGTCTGAAGATGAATAATTGGTTGATGCGTATAAGGTACTAAAGTACTCATATATATTAGTTTTCTGTCATAATCGCACGGATAGTGAAACTGTTCTGCTGCTCCCGGAGCAGTCCACAAGCGGAGGACCGATAACGAGGGGGTGAAACCCAAATGTAATACTATCAAAGTAACATTGTTTGATTTGGCCTGACGGTAGGCATACACATACACAGTCCAGTCCGTGCCGTCAACCTTGTAAAGTTTGCTGTAAATTATCCAGCATTCAGCAATGCACACGCAGGGAAAACGCTGACTTTGAGAGGCCCTTGGTATCAAGTGGTGGATCGAGTTGTCTCTCGATGCTACTGGTAAAGGCAATGATAACGGATGTGACAGATCCGTTGGAACAACATACGACGGTTCTTTCGCAGCGGCCTCGATGTACTCACTAGCATTGAGGAGTAATAAGGTGGTGTCAAGGGCCTTCCAAGAGCGGAACATACTTGGTGATCTCAATAGCCTTAGGAAACCTACACACAAATATTCGAATGAGAAATGCTTATATGAGACATATGATAGGACGGATACATGCAGTTTTGTGTCGTCCATGACAGCTTTCACAAAGCCATCGCCGATGAAACAGTTAAAAGATGAGAATAAGAAGCTGAGAGCCGGAACGACGATGTTCGCAGGGTAGCAACTTTGGTATCACTGGGAAATTTGAAGATGAGCGAACGGTGCAGGGACACCCATGGAGAACGCACGAGATCGAGTCAGTGTGTGAAGAAGATATTTGAGATGAAGTTGAATCGAAGAGTGGCGAGAGGAATGGATTTTGAGTAAGCTCCTGACACTACTGACAGCTTTTAATACCCCAGAATTTCTACTAATGTGCGTCCATTATTATATTCGCTTCTCGTCTCATCTGTCATGAAATAAATATTTAGGAAAATCGCCAGATTCCTGTTCGCTTCTCGCCTATAAGCTGATAATTTCCGTTCAAATTTCCGGCATGATTGAGGGCGAATTGATCGATTAGTGTGGATCGATTGTGCACATGCGAGGCATCCATACCAGCTCTTGGCAGCGGATCTCTACATGGTGTTAAACGACACTCGGACATCGGAACCCCAAAATCCATTTTGATATCTAGCGACATACGAAATGCTCTGGGGGTATGTCAGGAGTATGTCAGGTCTGCCTGGCTGGAACTGTTAACTTGTGCGATATGTATACAACCTCAT